CCGTAACTCACGTACCGATATCATTTTAAATGTGTTACTTCTGGCTATTCATAGTACAGAGATCTAGTTGTCATGTTCCTGGTCATCATCAGACCTTTAAGATTCGCAGTGTAAAATAACACGCCAGTCTTGAGATTGAAAAAAAAAATACGATACCGGTTCCATACTTCTACAGCAATCAGCAATTCACGAAAAAGGTGAGCTTTTGAGCATATATATAAACATCCAAACATCACTATTTGTCATGAACGCAGTTTGAAACAAACGAACAGACCGAAATTTAAAATAAGTAGTCTTTACTTCATTGCTCTATATCCTTCTCGTAAAGCAATTAAATGCAGAACAAATATATTTTGGAGAAATCGTAAATTGTCAATGGTCGCGCAATTATATAGGGTTCATCGAGTTTAGAATACATGTGTCGCGAATTCTAATAGATGTATGTATGTATATATATATATGTAGGCACACACACACACACACACATACATATATATATATATGTGTATATATATATATATATATATATATATATATATATTGTTGATTAATATTCAATTCATACATATAAAGCGGTTAAGATTCGTGAGACCTACTATAAAATAGTTATTTAAGAAATAATCTTTACTAAAAAAATGTCTTCTGATGTATTTAGAGGCGGTGGGCTTAATTACATACAAAAAATCAAAGCAAAGTAAGCAAAGTTTATTGTTCGTTTGAATTTTAGTTGAAACAAATGAATGTGACTTATGCTCTGGGCGGTTGATTTAAGTGAATAATGTTTGTTTTTGATATAAGCATGTGTGCCAAACTTTAAAGGCGTTAGCCTTATTTTTTTAATATCTTCTTTTATTCTTCTTAGACAGATGATAGCGTTGGACTTTCCTTCTTAAACCGTTGAAATAAGTGCAACTTTCGATTTCCTGATCCTTATCGCAAAGAGGATTTCCTAAATGGGATTGACATTCTCGATTTTCTATACAATTGTTCTGTCTTCTTGATCACTTTTACGGGATCTTACAAAAATAAGCGCCAATATTTCACAATTTGAAATTCACGAAAAATATTTCCTTTGCGTTTATTGGAACTTTGGTGGACGCACGTATTTAAGCAAGAAAAAAAAATTGTTAAAAAATTTTATTTTGTAATTGTTTTTATTCATAAAAGTCAGTCAGTTGTTAATGTAAATACAAAGATCAGTTGAAGTATTGTCACACCATTTGCTACAGTCTGTATATGCTGCTAATCGTGTAGGATATCATATTATGTACACACGTCGATTGAACAAGTCATTGTTCTCAGATGAAGCTCTACCAGGTTCTTAACCATAGTTCAAAAGGTACAGTTAAAAGAGTCAGACAGGGCAGGTCGGGTGAAGAGATAGAATCGCGCACGCTCAAGGAAACGCTTTCTCAATATGGAGAAGTGTATAATAAGCCTTGTACATAAAAGGTAATAGGCAAATGCTACCATATTAAATTGGTTCGGGTTTAGGGATAAGTGGGGTTGTGTTTGTTATTTATTAAGTGTCGATTTTCTTGATTTATTTTGCAAATGTATCCATAAATTTGAGAGTGAAAAATTTATCGGTGAAAAATGGCTCTGGAAATGTCTAATGGATATTACGTCGCCCGTTTGTGGAAACGACGTAGTTGAAAGTTAGTTAAAACGACAAAATAGAACAGGTAGTACTTAATCTTTATTTATGAATCATATATCATATTCAAATGAATTTCTCATAAGCTCAGTCCACGTGGCATTACGTATTTGGTAGTAATCAATCAGTGTTAATAATCAGGTACAGGATTATCTAAGATATTGCCAGACGCGTATATACAAAAAAAATATATAAAGGACAATCCATTTGATGATGCATGATTCAGTGTACATTCGTGTAACTCATAAACAATAAAAGACACCTAATTAGGAATAGAAGGAATATAAGATATTTAAAATAAGCATTCTTTACTAGGTTATAAATCTTTGACTTATACCTAAAATACTTGAACAATTTCCCATGACAAAAACGAAGGACAGCGGCGGTAATGATGCGCATACTAACGCTACAAGAGAGAGATCTTTTATCGTGCAGCTGCCGTACATATAAAACATGCGCTTGCACATGGCCTTAATGCGCCTGCCCAAACTACTTTTTCCCTACTATATAATCATTGTTGAACTAATGTTTAAAGCTTCTGTTTGGTAGTTTTATTGAATTAAAATTGCATAGAAGCATGCCCGGACGAAAATATTCAAGACGTGGAGGAATATAATATATTTTATATTCCTCCACGTTTATTTTATAGGGAATTTTTTTTGGGAAAGAATATTAAGAAACTGCCTCTGTGGCCGAACGGTTACCATGCCGGACTGCCATGCAGAGGTCCCAGGTTCGATTCCCGGGCCGGGAGAAATATTTGTATGGCCTACATTTATTTGTCTCGTGAGTTTGGGTGTAATTTGTAATTGTCTATTTGTGTGTCCATGGCACCCGCGACACAGGGTTTCCCTAGTGCGGGGCTATGTCGAGTGTGTGCGTTATTATTATTATTAGATGTAACGGTTTTGATAGTTTCTTAACTAAAATCTATTGATCGTACGATTATGCTTACAATTCTCAATTTTATTATTTTAATATTAAAGCCTTTTTTCCTCTTCCCTACAACGCATCCATTGACATATAAAACTTGAGTACTTATTTCTTCATAATAATTCAGAACACAGGCAGATACATCATTGAAATAAAAAAATAGCTTTCTCATAAGAGGCTTTATACAATTTACATAATTATGTATTATTAAAAAAAAGGTAGAATTTAAGGTATTAATTAATCAATCATGCTTTATTTAGGATTCTAAATTGGGAGCTTAAACTTATATTCCACAGGATAGCCGTCGACGGCGCGCGGCGTGACAATTTTTACTTAGATTGGATAGCAATGGAGCAGGATAAGGTGGAGGAACGAGGCGGCCTAGCAGTGAAAGCTATTAAAAAAGTATATTATTATCCTCTTTTTAGTTATCTTGACATTAACAGATAGAATAGAATATAAAATTGGTCTCATTATTCAAAATAATAATGCACAAAAGCACCTGCTTGTTTTTATATTTAAAATAATGGTGTAATCATACTAAAGCTACCCTACAAAACTTTGTCGAAATATGTATTACTAAAAATATAAATTAAAAAATATAAAAGTAAATAAAATTAACTGGAAATGACATTTTGATCTCAAACAACGTTAAACTTTTTTAATGAGTACCGTGTATTAAAACATTACATTTTAACATTCTTCTCAATTGTTCTAATTAAAAAATAAAGCGTGGCATGGCTCATTAAGTTTCACCTAGAGAACATACATCGTAGTCTATAAAAAGCACAGGTCTGTGATAAAAAGCAACCACACGAGTTATGTTATTGTGGCGATGAAATTGAAAAACGATAGCAATTGCTTGCTAAACAACCTTTAACTCATTGGTTAACCGGTGCTTAGAAAAAACACGAACTGCTTCGTTAAGGTGTACCAAGTCTCATCGGCGGTCTACCTCCTCGAATTATCACAGAATACATTGAGTTTTTATCATCACATCTGCCTTTTAACAGCTCATGTACTCCTGGTATGTTTTAATTGAGTGAGAAAGGTTGCTATTTATTTTTAATTGAAAATATACTACTGTTTATGAAATTTATTGCGTAATATTAAATAGACACTTATGATGGAGAATTTAATTGATACTTATTTCTAATTTAAGGTTCTGAATGCAGTCTACATAAATAAATAAAAATTTACTTTAATTAACGATGTTGATATTGTTTATTAAGCAAAGAGAATGAAAAGTAAAAATCGATACCTGCAATATCTCACTAAAATTGAGTTGTACCAAAATTCGCTTCTCGATACGTCGGTATCGACGTAACCAATAATTTTTGGGATCGGCTAAATAATTATCTGTTATCGTTGTATTGGCAGAGGGTCGAGGACCGAAAAGATGGCCGACTCGTATGGACAGCGCAACAAGACTAGCCTGATAAATAAGTTTAATGCTACCATAACTCACATTTATGTTTGTGTTTCGTATCTTTTATGTTTTGTGTTTGGCGAAAGTCATTGTGTATAAGATGGCTCAATAAACACATCGATTAACGCAACTCTGCAATGCTCACTTAGAACGAATGTACATAAAAGTACAACAAGGACCTTTTGCGGAATTTGACTAAAATACGCGGACCAAAAATTTCTTGTCCGTTTTCACTCTAATTGAAATTAATTTACTCAAGCGTTTCTGTTGAAATTAATTTTATGTATCAACGCTTTACTCATAACGATCTTAACCATTTTCATCATCATTACCAGTTCCATATAAAGCTAAAACTCATTACACGTTTTGCCAACGCTACCTGCAGACGAAGAATTCAGTTTTTAGCGGCTATGTGTCTCCGGTTCCATTCCTTATTCGGTATCCATGAAGACTATAGTCAATTTAATTAATAGACCTTCCCATCGCCTCGAGACCATCGAGATGAAGTCATTATGCATGCTTACGAAAATTATACGAGGCAAGGCCGTTTTCTTTATTACATCTTCTAGTTCGTATCATAAGCACGTTAAGCACACTTTTTATTAGTCGTTGTTAGAAATCACGAAGCAATCAGTTAAGTATCTGTTCCTAATGTGACGAATGCTATTTGATTGTAAAAATAAAGAATTTCATAAGCCAATTTGAAGTTAGCAAGATTTTGTGATGCATTGATGATGGTAAGTATACGAGTGCACTATAATAGCATTCCTCACGTTTCGACAGTCATGGAGAGAGAGACGGTCGGGAAAGATCAAACGTGATGGCTTCGAGACGGCTTAGTAAATTAAAACATTGCAAAACAGCTATACCGTAGAAGTCTCGCTTGGGCGATTTCAAATATGGCGACGGGTGATGACGAGTCAGTTTTTCGCAACCGTCTCCACTCGATAAATAATGCCGCGGACTTTGACAAAAACTTACCTAGTCCTGTTCGGTGGCCAGCGGCGCACGCTCCTCCTCGCTCCGCCTTCACCGCGCACCCGCCTGCACTCTCCCCGTAGCTTTTTCTGCCCATTCCACGGCGCCTGCGCTGCGCAGCCGCACCGCGAACCGCACACTTCCATACATAACCCTAAATATTTACACGGCTACTCTAAATAATACCTACTTATATTTATGGCAATTTGTTTAACTTCATCGACTATTAAAACTGCAGGAACACGATCACGTTTACACTATAAACTTATGCGAGAGTATTGAAGGATTAAGATGGCGCGGAAGGTTATCTGTTTACACATTAGTCTGATGTTAGAAAGACAGCAGATAATTAATTTAACTTACGACTCTTTCTTACTTAGACATTAAGGGTACGAGACCGGGTCTCTTTGGTAGGCATATTAAATTTGTACAATGTAATAAAGTTCGTCTCGCCGACGCTGCCGAACTGGGGGCGCTACGGTCGCACATAACGTAAAACGCACTACGATACACCTACACTATGTTACACGGAAGAGATTTCTACAAATTGCACTGGTTTCCGAACGCGAACATCTTCGACGATAGCGCGAATTAAAATATAAAATAATTCAATAAATCAACAAAAACAAAACACCCGAAACACAAAAATAATACGACCCGTTTCTATTCTAGCATTCAACAGTTTATTGTTCGTTCAATTAGAAAAACAGTGTGTCTAGTAAAAATTAATTTAAAAAATAATCACAACAACCGAACAACACTTAAATAACGAAAAATAATTATAAACAATTTACAAACACAAATCTAAGGAGTGTTCGGCGGACTGCGAATTGTATTTATCACTGCATAATAAATAGCGTGGCGGGCTTAGTGCTCGGGATGCCCTTGCGCCGCTGCCGCTGCCGCCGCAGCAGCCGCTGCTGCTTTTTGCGCTTGCGCTTGTTTCTCCTGTTCGTTTAACTCTTTTATAGCCTGGATTTCTTTCTTTAATTTCATCCTTCGATTCTGGAACCATATTTTGATTTGTCGCTCTGTGAGGCAGAGAGCATGCGCCATCTCGATGCGTCTCCTTCGCGTGAGGTAGTGGTTTGTATGGAACTCTTTCTCTAACTCTAGCGTTTGATATCTCGTGTAGGTTTGTCTCCCTCGCCTTCTGAGTCCATTCGCTCCTGTAACAAACAAAAAAGGACGGTCATTGACTGGGTTCGTGAGCATAGGGCATGTTTTCAAGTGGCTTTTAAAGTTCTTTCGTTTGGCGGCGTCTGCGCACGTTCCCGGGAGCGTTTGAATGTTGAATGGGATTGGTTGTCTTACACAGTTTAGTTCAAATGACGTTACAATTGCCATTGACGACAGCTTCATTTTGTTGAAACTTCAATATTGATAAATGGCTCCGAGAGGGCCTTTTGCACGCCGCTGAGAGAATTAATACCGCGGTTGCAAACTTGATTAAGAAACATAGTAAACGTGGGAGAGATATAAATCTCTGCTCGTAATCTTAGATAACATCGCTGTATCAATGCATCCATGTAAGTACACAGAAGCATTAATAACTTATCTTTTGTCGTTTTAAAAATAATGAAACTTTCAAGACGTTGTTTTCGCGCCCGAAAGCATTTCCTGCGATACGTTCGCCGCCAGCGGCCTTTCTCGAATTCCTTTCCAAAATTAAACTGCAATATTCATACTGGTATCTTAAACATCGACCAAGTAGTACTTAGTGTCTGCCCGAAAACATAATTAATCAATACCGCAGTGCTTGAATGCCTTTGAATTGTATACCGAGAACTCGATCAGGCGATAACTGAAATAAGCAACCAAGAGCCGAGTCGCGAAAATTCGGCCACGCCATAGGGTTGCCAATTATATTTTATTTTATACCTGCACATCATTACGCCAGTCTCCCATTTTTGTTTTATGTAGATTTTAAAAAGCTTCTTAAAAGTTTATAAACCCAAAAGTTAGTCTAGTCTATAGAAAAATAAAGACAGTTTAAACTTTTTATTTTACCCAGCTGTATCTAGGTGATAAAATATTTTACTTAAACAAGCAAAATGACATAATACGAAAATTGCGCAATCACAAACAATTACTGACAAAATTGCGTAATTGAAAGTAATAAAAGCGGCTGGCATATGTATAGGTATTAAGAAGCCTCTATCTTATTTTTTACGGCACTATATTAAAACGCAATTATTAAATTTTCATCAGATCTGAAGGATTATATTAACATAATTTCAAGATGGCCGCAGCCCCGGGGGCTATGTACCAAAAGCGCTCATTGCATGCCGCTGCATTGCGTGCACTCGAACGTAATGTATAGGTTTTCGAACGCACGCTGAGCGGAATACTTTTTATTTGAATTTCGATTATCGATGTAGGTACATTTTCCCTGTACATGAGGTTAGGTTAAGACCAATCCCGCATGTCTTTTGTTTTGTTTGATATGTTCGATTTTTAAACGAGATTTTGGTGGTGGATACGTTTATGGAGAGATCTTAATTTGTGCTGTAATTTTATAATTGTACCTTAGTGTTATTTATATGAAGTTTTGTAAGTTAATCAATGTATTTTACTATCATCAACAATTGATCCATTCATACCACTTAAAACCACATTGCCGGTTAAAAATAATACTGTCAAGTACTTCTCACAACGGTACTGGTAAAAGGGTTGGCGACCAATTTAATGGGTTGATTAACTCAAGTACGGTATTGAGAGGTTTGTCTAATCTCTCCACGGTTCGAGTGAAGTTTAAAGAGAAGATTATGTTGATTTTGAACATTTATTATCTCTTGTGGGATACAATAAATAAAAAGTAATAAGTACCAGGATCTCGGCTCCGACCACCTGTTAACAGCCTTTGGAGTCAAAACCCTTGGTCCGTGGGTTCCCGGTGCCCTTCATGTGTACAAAATTTTATCCAAAAAAATTAATAGACTGTCTGGGAAACCCAACGGCAGCTACCTTGCCCAACGCATTAGTATAGCCATACAAACGGGAAACGCTTACAGCATCTTGGGCACCTTGCAGCTGGGACCCAATTTTATTCTATCATTCAATCCTAGTTTTACTTTCTAGTATTTAAGCTTTTTTGTGCCTTACCTTACCTTACCTGTATATTATGAAAATAAAATAGATTGACCTGTTTAAATAAAGGGAATATATGTTTTTTACAGTTATTCTAATTTTGTTTAAGTTACTGAAGCATTACATATAACATATTACAGCAGTAATGGATACTTACAATCGGAAATTAAACTATTTTTTCGAATCTAAATCGCGTATATTTATTTTTTCAAACAAACCAACATTTCGGGCTATTTACAGGGCTCATGACCACGGGTTACTGAGATGGTAAAGTCGTCAAGAAGTTATGTCTAATACTAATGTAAACCACCATTTTCTGAACTACTTTCGAAAAAAGTATTAATTAACTACATTATTTTAATTTAACAAAGAACATTTTTTAGTTGACGTTATGTACGATTTGTAAAATATTTTAGCATTACGCATTTTTTACTTCTTCATCGAATTTCCGAAATTAACGAAAATAGGAACAAGTATACTTAATTATATTTATGTAACGTATATACCTAATACGTGGTATACAACAACACCAATTGCCTGGTATCAAATTCGGGAATTCCCTGTACTATGACTACCAGAGCAACGAAATTCTGTGGCACTTCCCAGAACACCCAGAGCAGAACCAATTTACCGGACCCGGAACTTTTGCAACCATCGCCCCCAATGTAAACCGTTAGACCTTCGTGTTAACAATAACTAAATTATCATCATGTTAACAATAATAAATATGTATTGGTGAAATTACAGGCACATGGGACTTGTCAACTTATGTCTCAGGGTGACAGACGCAGTGGCAGTTCCTCTCAGATCTTTGCGATTTAAAGCTCTCAGTGGCCCTGCAACTGTTATGGACAGGCGTGTAACTAACCATCAGGCGTACGACTTGTTCGTCCCGTTACTTGATATTATTATAAAAAAATTAGTATATAGATAGTTTCATAGTCCAAAGTGTAACAATCGCGAAAAACTAAGAACTCTAAATAACTTACAATTTTGACAAAAATGAATTGTTTGCCTCGGAACATAGAACACGAAATTCTTATTCGAATTAAACATTTATCAACAAAATTGTGACTTATTAAAAGGTCCTACTTCCAATTAAACTTTCGGTTACTAAAATATTTGATGTAAAATGAAGATAAGCCTTTAATAAAATTTATAAAGTGTAAACCATATTAACGTACTTAGCTTAAATTCATACACCTACTACATGTTTTTTGCTTCATAAATAAACTTGTCAGGGCCATCGTACCGATTTAGTATGCAATTCAAAATTGTTCCATTCTAGAACAAATAAGTGGTCTACATTTCCTTCAAAACCCTCCTTTATTCAATCCTCTCTCATTCAAGCGCCGCAGAGTTAAGTGCAACCTTTTTAATAATTAACAAAAATTTCTTCAAGCCAGAGTAGTGGTTAATTGACTGACGCTAATTACCTAAGCCGTAAAAGCCTTTTTGAGAGTATGTACTACAACCAGTAGAAGATGAACTCTGATAATTATTTTTATAGACATAGTGTTACTATATCACTTTATCTGTTTTTTCAAGGACTGTGTAAGTCTATGGTCGTAATGAAGGCTCATTGTAGAATGGTGGCTTTACTCTACGTCTTCGGAATGATTTATTGTGAACATTTTGTCACTCTTATGATGTGCTGTCGTAATTAAAATTGGGTAAATTTTCAGATAACGATTTTGATTTATTATTTTTATATGTTGTGCGTAACTCGATTAAAATTAAGCCTATCAACATAAAATCGATCGAAAAAAATCGTTAGTGTTCGATCTTTGTATTAATAATTATAACTATTGGAGTATTTTCACAAAAAAAATATTATATCACGATAGTAAAACATCCTGAAATTCAATAAACTTAATTACTATCATCATAAAGTTACATTCTTAATAAAAAACTAATAATATGACAACTAGTAGTGTTGTCCGCTTTTGGAAAATCTGTAAAATAAAAATGTCAGGTGAGTCAGGAGAGGAACGACTTGCCTAAACGTTTTTGGCCCATGTATCATCATCCAAAACGAAATGATTCATTTTATTTCATATAAGAATGAGCATTTTTATAAAATATATGCGTAATTAGAAGTAAAGTTCACTATGTAAATTAAGAACCATTGACCTTTAAAGTCGGAGCTCAAGTTAAATCGGCAGCTGTGTAGTAAATATAGCGACCTTTTCTTTCTTTATACATTGTAGGCTGTTTAAGAGATTAGGTTGAATTGTTATTTATGTTGATTAAGTATTTTGGTTAGCGAAAATTCGAGGGAAAGCGATGTATGTAAATTTTAGATTTATACTGGTTATTAAACCGACACATGAGATTAAGCTTTTATTAAGTATAAAACAGTTTAATTTGAAAACCATTTGTTTCACCGCATGTTTTTATTATTCTTTAATAACGTGGTTTATGGTTAAAATAAATCAAAGGTTTTGAACCATTATACGAACTCGTTTTTTATTAAATCACGCGTTTATATATTAATTATAGTTAAGGCATGTGTAGATTTGACATTCTTCTTCGTATTTTTGCAATTAGAACAGGTTGACTATTGATGTATTTTAATATTTTTCTTTACTTTAAAAAATCAGTTATTACGTAAGTAGATAGGTACGTTATGCAAGGAAACTACAAATCTAATATTGACTTTGAATAACGATATTATCCTTGATATATGAATATCTAAATTACATAATATATTTCCATTTGATGATCAATTTCGGTAAAAAAAATGTAATAATAAATATTAATAATCGTCCATTTGTACCCCATAAAGGGCATAAAGTGTTATCTTATATCGATATGGGAAGCATTTGCGATAAGCAAATGTAGTCGTTATGCGAAATAAATTACTTTACTAACTTTGTACGAAATTTGTACGTTCATTTTGAGCGTTATTTGTTTATAATAATATCTTAATTTTTGTGTTAAATCTGCACCTTAAAAATAATTTATAAAAAATCTAATATGAAGTTTATTGCATATCACAATGTTTTACTACCTTTCATTCAATTATTTTATGTACCTTTACTCATTAACTGGACTAGTTTGTTATAATTATTAATAC